ACTTCTTTCTGCTCTTAATCAAGACCACATTTATATAAATATTGCTTCAATGAATGTCCCCACTGAAGAACTCGTTATTTAAAATAATCCTAGGGACCGAGTCCAAACAGCTATAAACATCACATCTAATACAATAATTCAAGGAAGCACTTTGCAGTATAGTTTTCCTTATGTCAGCTGACATTGACAAAGGAATTCCTCCTCCACGCAACCCTCTTCCCCAGTATTGTCATGGTTAACAAGTGATTCATACATCCTTATTTTTCATTGCTACTGAGACATGAAAGCTGTGATGTACATGAAGAGGGCATCTCAGCAGCAGCTGGAGATGTGATCTCAACTTGGGTAAACTGTAGCTACCACTGCTGAGAGGTTGTTCTGTAGCTAAGAAGTTTCTCTCTCTGTTTTAGGGGTTTTGATGGCCAAGGAGAGGAGAACAGCAGAGTCATCATAGATTCAACAGTAATGTTCCAGTGGTGCGGTTCCACTGCAGGAGGCTCTTCTGGTAGGTGTAGGGTATTTGCTTTTGGGATCCTCATGTGTCTTCCTCCTTATTCTCCTAGGAATAAGCTGGAGCTTCAATGCGTTGATCTGGGTGGAGGGCAGATCGCTCTGTAGTTTACTGCTGTTTATTTAGCAATGTTATCTCAGCCCATTTCTATTGATTTGATTTCGTATGCAAAGGTAAGAGACAGACCCTGCCTTGGAGGAGAGAGACTGAAGGTTTACCATTACCCCCTCTTTCAGGAGTGAGCTGCAGATAAAGTATCTTGACCAGGGTCATATAGAGACTCTGTTGCAGTGGTGGGAGCTGAAGGCTCATCCCGCAGCCATGTTCCCTTGTAATTTAGGTGGTAACCTGGGAACAGAGAAAGATCTCCAAGGTAACAAGGGATCAGTAATGGCCTTCCGTGTTCGCCTAAAGCAGGGCAGGCACCCCATCTCAGGAGAGGATCTCAGCCTGTGGACAAAGGAAGGTCTGATTGACGTTTATATTATTTTAAAACGTTGCATGTTGTGTTTCCAGACCCCTGTGTCTGTGACATTATTGATCTGTATATCTTTAAGACAGTTTGGTTTATTTATTTAATGTGTCTAATCCGTAAAAGAACAAGTCCCATCTAGAAATGGCAGGTTGTGCTCAGAGCTGCCAGAGAGCTGAGAGTAGGCAACCAAATCTTGCAATGAGGTGATCAAAGATTTCATCAAAAATACAGAATGTTCAAGCTGTTCTGCCAGCTGGGAGACTTGTAGCAGGCTGGAATTCATGCTGCTTAAAATGCTGCAGCTTCCTTCCAAGCAAATAAAAGGACCCTATTGCCCAGCAACCTCCAAAATAGGATTAGTCATTACAAATGGGCAAATATCCCAATAGGACGAGAAGCTCAGCTCTGTGAATTGAAGGGTAATATTTTGGAAAGATCGTACAGGCGGGTTTACATGACGAAAAAGCTTACAACTGCTAGTGTGTCCTAACTCCCCATGTGCCACTTTGCTTTTGTGCTGAGTGGTTTTGTGTAGCTAAGCTAGACTGTGCAAGGGGCTCTTCATGAGGATTAAGAATGTCCACAAAGGAAATTAGTGCATAACAGCTATTGTACTTCATGTTCATGGAGTATCTTCCTTTGCAGTCGCGTTTCTGGGACAGGCAAGCCCTCAAAGGCCTGGGAGTCTCAGGTGCATTTTTGGGAGTGAGTTGGGTGCTTGACAAAGTCCCAGGCCGTGCTTTGGGTTTCTAAAAGCTACATTTTTAAAGTTGTTTGGGTACTTAAATGCACAAGTGTACTCCCATGGGATTTGTCCTAACACTTCAGCCTTTCATTCTGTTTGGAAGCCATGGACAGCTAGGTGGGGATACCTTACAGAATTTCCATGCGAAACACAGGGCATCTAAACACATACCAAAATATGGTCCTCTGACTTTACTACATAAGGTATACATAATGAAATAATTTAAATGTGGTTTTTTTTAATTTTAACCCTCAGTCTAATACAGCATAGATGTTCGAGAAGTAACTTTTTTTTTTGTTGACTTCAGTAATGAATGATAAATGTCAGATACGGCCAGCTTCTTGGCCCCAGGTTGGAAGGAAGGCCTAAGTCCTTCCTTGGTGTCTTTAGAATGGCTCACCTGTCCCTGCTGCTCATTCACTCTACTGACTGCTCCTGTTGGTCTTGTAATTGCGTGTTTCCTCTGCAGATTTCAGCAGTAATAGTTTTTCCAATTGTTCCTATAAAATAAGCTATAAAATAGATTGTATTTTTAATTGTTTAGCTTCATTCAGCAGACTAATCGTTGGACTTCAGGCATGTTACATTAAATACAGCTAAAGGTTTCATTATTCAATTTAAACTAACCTAATTAGTTAGAGACAATCATTTAATTTGGTTATGATTCTAATCTCTCATCAGGAAACTTCTCACTGACAAAGTCCCTTGTTTCTCTTTGGAAAAAAAAACGCCAAGGAGTGAACACTGTGGGGCTATACTGATCCTGCAGGTCCTGGTGGGTTAATGTGGACATTAATGCCGTGGCTCTGATAAGCATTAAACTAGTATTGCTGCCTTGTTCTACATTTTTGATGTTTTATGCCAACATATATGAATTTTTCAGTGCTGTAGGATACACTTGAAATCCAAATACTTAAGGGGAGATACTTTGTTTTATACATGGTGTCATTCTACCCATAGAAGTTACACAGCTAGGAAATGGCTTAAGTCTTTCTAACTGAAGAGAAAAATCTAAAATAAACCTAGTAGCTGGTTTAGCAGAATTCTGGTTTAAATTTAGAGTTGCAAGGACAAAGCAGCACTGATCCTTCAGGATCACATTTAGGCTGCATCTTTGGTGAGGCAAACTTGCTACTGATTGGGCTGCAAGACTTCGTGGTGCCCTTCAGAGCTAGCAACTTCATTTCCCATGAGTTGAAAGACATTGTTTTTCTTGGGTCTTTGGAATATCTGCAAAGAGAATCAAAATTTATTTAGAACTTCCCAAAGCTGTGGTTATTCTCAGTAAGAATTTTTTGCATATTCTCTTTCCCCCTTCCTTCCTTTCTCTAGCTCTCGTGCACATTTCTAAGTACATTTTAAAACTTATTGATGTAGGACAGTTCAGATTCAAAATTATCTCAGGCTCTAGACTTGAGCTTGAATCCAAGATGTTGTTGAAAAACTTCCCCTTCTTAAACATTTATTTTTCTTCTGGGGGAGTCTTGGTACTCTCTGGTTTCCCGCAGAAGCACTGAGAAGCTAATCCTGATTGCTCAGAGAATAAAATTCATGGGTCTAGACTTGCAATTTATTGGACACTTCCCCCTTGCCAAAGTTGCTCAAACTTTGGAGGTGTTTCCAAAACACATCTGTGCCAGCTGAGATTGAAACAAATTTAATGTTCACCTTTCACCATTAAAGATCCTTAATGTTCAGCTTTCTCAGATGTCTCCTTACCGCTATTTCTTTGGTTTTATCAGGGTAGCGCGCTCTCCTGCGCAGATCTGAGGGCAGTTAATGTCCAGGGTTGTGCTGCATGTGCCATTCTGTTTTCCAACACCGCTGCTTCAAGCAATCCTTCCCTGGTGGACACGGAGAGCATCCTCACCACTCTGAACGTCTGATCCATGCAGGGTAAGTCCAGCTCAGCCCCACTCGGTAAGCATGCTTCCTTTTGCCCATGAGCATGCTGATGCAACAAAACTGGAAGCTGAAGGAGGGAAGAATGAAAGAGTCGCTTGTCATTAGTCCAAGCTGTAGCCTGCGTTTCCCAAACATAAATGTGAAAGTTAAAAGGACCCAAAGTCTGTGTTAGCGTAGCCGGCTGCACAGCCTAGTCCAGTTTCTGTAGCTACAGGTATGCAGAGGAAGGTGTGATAAGCCTGCATTGCTCCTGGAAATATGCCAGTTCTGCAAATTCTGAGTGAAGCTTTAGGGTTTCCAGTAAAGAGACCACGGCTGGACAGTAAATGGTAACCAGTGTTGGTAACTGCTGTATTATTTGCAAAAGCACGTGTGATTGGAGGTCCCTTCCATCCTTCAAAAAGAGAAAAACAATATCTTTGCCTTGAGGCTTGATAGGGTGGGTGCTCTGTTCCCCGACAAACAGAGCTTCTAGCTCAGAACTGCAATGGAAGCAAAAACGACTTCAACCCAGTAGAATATTTATTGCGTCTCTTCCTCCCTTAATTTGGTGAAGGAGCTAAAATTTGTCCTTCTCTTGAGAATGTGGAGTATTAATTAACTGAAGACGGGCTGAGAAATGGATGGCTCTCCTAAGTGTTTTCCTTATACTTTATTATCATTCTAGGCTTTTAAAACAATGACTGTGCCAAAGAAAAGATTAGAGTGGAGCAAAGACAGGGTTTTTTTTTAAATAATAACTAGAGAAAAAAATATCAATTTACAGTGTATACAATCAGAACAGAAGACAAATTATTTGTAAGGTATGTTTGAGCAAGAGGTAATTGTGACTTGAATAGATTACTTTTATCTAATGTATTTATTGCTACATAAATATAAAGATGTGTGGAACTATTTTATACATGGAGAAAGTAAACAGTGTGTACTTGTATATGTAATTTATGTATTTCCGTCTATAGTGACAGGTACCTACTGCCTCTTTATACCTATATATGGAAAAGAGAGAGACTCGGAGCAAAAAGGATATTTTATCCTATCAATCACTGCCCTACTCTCCTCCAGCATTTTTTGGTTTAGCGCTTAAAATTGTAGTACATGGAGTGCAGAACTCTGAACTACAACGTGCATATGGGAGATAGAGATGTGAGCGTCTGTTCATCAGAACCTTCCCCAGCTGCCTCGCAGAGTTCATACATCCTTGTTTCTCTTTGAGGTGGTAGCTCTTGGCTTGCTTTGTCTCCTTCCAGCAGAAGACCCCAGGGACCTGACACTGACATAGGTGTGCTCAGTTGGGTAAGCTGAGGCACGCCTGGTTAGGCAATTTACCAAGCGTATCATTGGCAGAACCATCGCCACCTGCATACTCAAAAGTCTTCTTTTTTTTTAATGCACAAGCATATATTTTTCCATTATTTCCCATGGGAAGATGGGCACATGATGACTTGCATCAGAAAAATGGGTCTTGCAGTTTTAAATCTGTTCAACATCCCTGCTATCACGAGAGAAAAATTTATTCAATCATACTGGGAAAACCATAATCAAGTACTGTAGTGACAAGGTCCTTGAGAACAGTATCAAAAGGATTTCTGCTTGTGCAGAAAGAGGCTGGTGATCAGAACAGTTGGAGCAGAGACATGCAGACACGAGGTTATTTGTGTATTACAGCTAACCCTGTGTTTCAGCACATTAGAACCAGACCAAATACACAAAACCTTCCCTCAGGTATGAGCAGAAATCAGAATTGTTTGGTCCTCTGTCAGGAACCTGGGTACAGTATGGTCTAGGCATTAGAGCAGGGGCATGGAAATCAGTGCTTCTGGGTTTCTTTTCTGGCTTTGAGAAGGGGCAGGATCAAGTAAGGGTCATGGTGTCAAAGCCTTTTCTTATTTCTCTTATTCCTTTGCTGTGCATCCCTGGCAGCTACTAGAGGTTCCCCATAAAGCCCCATAACAATATTTATTTCCCAGGCTTGTTTAAAGCTAGACAAATTCAAGCTTATAATGTAGCAATATACAAATGCAAATAATTCTTGTTATTACCCATTAGTGTGATCAGTTATATCTGAAAGATTGATTCAAATTAGAGAGGATAGATTCTATCACCATTTACTATAACAGCATTGTCTTACTCTAGTTCACAAAATATGGTGTTTCTAAACCCATCCTGGTTTATCCATTTTAAGTATTTCACTTTGTGTATTTGTAAGATACCTATTGCTTATCTCAATGTTAGTGAATTGTTGCTCTATAAGCTGACTACAGTCCCAGTCTAATAAATCTTTGGCTACTCAGTTAAGGCTATTCCTCAGATTTACAGTTTTTTCTGCAGACAGAAAAGCAGCATTCAGCTACAGGATATCATCATCAATGAGTAAAGATATATTTGCAAAATAAGGCTAAGACACAAGTTTCACTTCTTCCTCAAGTCAGCCATTAAATCTGTTTGTGTAAAAATAAGCTCTCTCTCCTTATCGGATCATTAGACGAGTTGCTAAAAAAGCCAGCCCATTTGCTTCTTTGCTGCTATAGTTATTTCATAGAATCATAGAAAGGTTTGGGTTGGAAGGGACCTTAAAGATCATCGAGTTCCAACCCCCCTGCCATGGGCAGGGACACCTTCCACTAGACCAGGTTGCTCAAGAACAAAATCTTAGGTACCTCTCGTACCAGAAGCTCTTTCAGATTCAACTGCAAGATTAAGGCTGTGTCTTAAACTCTTTCAGGTCTTTGCCCCTGAAGGTCTTCAGACGCATTACAAATGTTTGCTCCTATAGGATAATAATTTACTCATAGGTTATTGCCACGATGTTTTGGATCAAGGTGCGCAGAGTGGGAACAGAATGTCCATGTTGCTACTCCCACTGTTTCAGTTCTCCCTCCCGCCTTTGTTACTTCATAGGAACTTGTCTCTGAGAAGACAAAATTTTCTCTGATAAAATCAGCTCATCTTAGCTGGTCCCAATGGACTGGATGGCCTCCAGGTGGAAGAGTTCAGGGAGGGCAGAAAATGATGAAGGTTTCAGGGGGAAGAGATACAAGCTGGGAAAGGCTGGCTTTTATCAGAATTCATTTTTCTCTTTGTGGGGACGAGGAGTGAGAGTAGGGCCACTGGCCTTATTTAAGTTATGTAAGAGCACTGAAGACAAATACAGCTAGAAAAGAGCCAACAGTACAGAGGGAATCAAGAAATTTTCCAGACTTGGTAGCTGTCAAGTTTGCTAGGAAGCAATACAGCAGATTATTAGTAGAAGCAATTAGATTCGTAGTAGAAGCAGATTAGTAGAAGCAGATTACTTAGTAGAAGTAGATTATTAGTAGAAGCAATACAGGAACAGCAGATACTAGTAAAGAGCCGTGCCGTGCCTGTGCTCATCTGAACTCGGTGTTGGTTCACCTCTGCAGTAGTTAATTACAGCGTACCAGTGAAGTACGCATTTTCCACCAGTGTCATGTACCAGTGGGTGCTTTCAGCTGCAGAGTTGCAAAATCAGCACGTTCAGGAAAATCCTTTCTATTTGTAGGAGAAACATCTAGGAGGAGTTGTGAAAAAAAGAAATGGGCAGGAGAAACTAAAGCATATAGGGGAGACCCCAAAAGTACAACAGTCCTCTGGGTCATGACCTAATTTTTTGAAGGCAAAGGGTAAAGTTACATTTAAAACTTGGATCCAAGAAACCTGGCCTCAATTAATGTTAATAGCCAGAAGAGGAAGCAGGTAGGAAAAGACAGAAGAATAGCCGGGAGGGTTTCCTAAAGCAAGATGATTAGGCAACTATTACCTGGTTTAAAAAGAAAAGATGGAGGCTGATATTTCTCACTTAGTAGTTGCCGTTGCTGATGGGACAGCAGATGATGCGGCTGGATATCCAGCTACCCTACCCAACCAAACCCGTTCTCGTCCCCAGCTTTGATGCTATAGACAAAGCTATAGCATTTTGTATCCTAACCATAGTGGAAACCAGTTATTTGGACGAAAGGCCCTGAGCTCCCTTAGCAGATGAGGTGCTTTGGTAAGTGTTGCAGCAGGCGTAGGCTTAGTCTGGAGACTGTAACAAAGTCCAAATCAATTGCATTTCCTGTGGTTTTAGATTTTGCTGTGAGCGTCTCACACCCAACAAACCCAGGGCTGTTCTGCCCATTACCTCTCTCACGGGGTAAAGAATTAAACAGGTCTTAGAGAACCAGACCCACACAGAGGTAAACATTACTTACATTTGCAGGAATGAGCATTTACTAGGGTCAGTGCTGATGCCAAGGACTTCTAGTCTTTCCCATGGAAAAATTTAGGTTTTCCAGTAATGCTGTAATTATCACCCTGTCATGTCACAAAGCAAACAGGTTGGCAAACCTAGGTAGCGAACTAAATAATCTGTGGCATAATCTAAACATATAATGGTAATTAAATCTGACAACTTAATAAGATACTGAAATTCAAATGTACAGTAGTAATCTACAATTAAGTAATCTTTTGTAATAGCACCCTGCCAGTTTGTAAGATTTCAGGTAGAGCTCTGTGTACTGTTTCATAGCAAAAATATTGACATAAGAAAAAGTTATGCAGGCAATGATCAGACATACATTCAAATCAACCAGCACAGTGCATGGAAGGGTACAATAATGGCAATGATTCATTTCAGGCATTCAGTTGCTGCCACCAGCATGCATTCAGAATGCCTTGCTGTACTTGGGAAGGACTTTGTCTGCTGTTTTGGGGGATTGTGGTGCCTGACATCTCTAATGAGCTTTTTGGCAGTCTATTGCCTAACCTCAGAGGTGGTTGATTAGAGCAACACTCTGTCGAGGACGTCCAGTGTTCACGTGCTCCTCCGAGCAGAGAGGATCTGTTATACAGTATCTGAACTGGAAGAAGTGGAAGAAGTTCCATTTCTAGCAAAATCTTTCTATCATTTTGACTTTGATACTATCTTGTGCAATAAGTACTATTAATGCTCGGCTACCCAGATGCTGTGCTAAGTAGCAAAGGTAAAATTTAGACATGATGGTAAGGGAGATGAGATTCGATGTGATCACAACACAGAGAGTAGACTTCAAATTGGTACCAATTCTACTAAATCAGCTAGCTGGTGAGAACTGGGAGGAAATAAGGACACATGCTTCTAGGAACTTCTGGATTTCTCTTTTAAGTCTTTTTGGTGTCCAGGTTTTAAAAAAATTATGGTATATGCTTTTGCTTTCATTCCTACAGCACATGTCCCATCTATTTATGTACAGCCTTCTTGAAGGGGAAGGAAGAAACACAACCCCCTCCCTCAAAAGCCCTCTGAGTGCAAATTGGCTTAGTAGGGGCTTTGCGCCAAACAACACTAACCAGCGCTGCTGCTCCACAGAGGGTAATTATATTTTAGTTATGATGTCAATAAGCAGCTCCCAGGAGAGCTTTTCTTTTTCAATCCTTTGAAGCTCTGAGTGAATAAAGGGAGCCTTGGAAAAGCAAACCAAGGCAAGAAACTTTCTAAATATAGGAAAAGCTTTGGGATTTTTGCATGACAATGACATTATTTTTAGGCATAGGTACAAGATTTCCTGCTTTGTCCATCTCAACCATTGTGCCTTGGTTTCTTTCTTTCTTTTTCTCTCCCCCCGCCCCTTTCTGTTTCTACTAACTTCCCTCTCTCCTCATGTTGTTATTGACTGTTTCTACAGATGCTGTTTTCAGAGCGAGAGCACTGGGGAATCAATCACAGCCATGTTATAAAAGGATCCCCATCACTACAGAGCTGAGTAAGTTATTCTTTAGGAACAAATTTCACAGAAGCAATATGCATGCTGCATTATTTATTTACCCCAGGCCCTTTTTAGAATTCACAGGCAGAAAGCGACAAGCACTACATGTCCAAGGAACATTAAAAGGTTTGACTTAGATGTTAATTCACTGGCTTTGAAGGAGTCAGGATGGTTTATCAGGAGAATAAATATAACAAAGTGTTACAAAGGTCTCTCTGTGTAGCAAAACTCCAAAGCATCCATTTAGGAGAAAGATACTGTCCTTGTATTTTTTTCCACTGGACTGGACCTTGGGAGGTCTGAGTTCTAGTGACATGGCCTGCATTCGTGCCACCTATCCTGATGTGCTTCACTGAGGTCGATAAATCAGAAGTGTATTTGCCTGGTTCACCCTTATTTTCAGTGGAGAAACAGGCATCACCAAAGGCAGTTCTGCCCAGATGAAATCTAACTTGGCCTTTGGCCACGCTTTCCTCTCTCTGGTGATTTTTAAGAAGCACTGAGAGACTACATGCCCAGTTTTCATCCCACAACAAATGGGGTGAATCAGGGCCTAATTGTCTACGTTCCAATCCTCCCCTTTCTGAAACGCTGGTGATGGTTCCCCCCTCCTCTTCTGGACTACGGGGGGTCGTTGCAGGCTTCCTCATTTGTACAAGTGGCTGTGAAAGAACAGAGCCTGTTCCAAACTCTCTGCAGTACCAGGCGTTGTGCAGTGACTGTTTGGGCAGCAGAACTCGGATGGGTCTGTGTACACGCCAAGGTGGACAGAGAGTGCTGATGTTCTGCTCCAGAGCCCAAACACCTTTGTCCTTATCCCACAGCCTCAGCCTCTCCGGCCTGCATGCGCAACTGAAGTCACCCATGGAGTTCTTTCATGCTACTCTTTGCTGTCTTTGTCTTCATCTCCCAATGGTTACAAACTGGGTCTGTTAATTAGAACATGGGCACCGATTAACTCATTACTAGTGACATAGCAGTCAGTGTCAAAGCAGAGTGGTGTGGCTGGGCTGCGGGTCCCAAGGGCCGTGACTGTGTAGCTGCATCTACAGTGCTGAGACAAGAATGTACTCATGGAATTAGCATAGCATGTTGCCAGGCGTCATGACTGGCCCCTGACTTGCGCAGGGGTTGGTTTTTTTTCTTTCTTTTTGATGCAGCGCTTGTAACTGCACTCAGCACATGTGGTATCCTTGCTTTCCATTCTCCCCAGGTTTGCAGCTGGAACAGGGCTAGTGAGCAGCCTTGGCTGGTAGCAGGCACTGGTGATATCTTATTTATATGAAGCTCTGGTGTACTGCTTAGTCAAAACTTATACGTGATGAGCTGTGTCCCAGAAGCAGTTAAGCACCTCAGTGGGCTGTTCAGTCCAGTGTGCTCCTTAGACTGAAACACTGAGGAGCTACTGCAAAAAAAAAAAAAGGCAGCACAAAATAATGATAAGATAATGATGCCTCCTCCTGAGTTATTCCAGAACTCTTGAATTTCCCAGAGTGATACCTGGATATCTTGTGCTGTGGTTTAAGCTTTTATTTCTGCTGTGTCCAAAAGTCTCAGGAATGTTTTGAGCTGGCTACCGAGGCCCAGCTCCTCTGAGAAGATATTGTGCAGTCAAGCTAACGTCTTCAGACAGGCATTGCACCCCTGTGATTTCCCTCCAGGATGTGGTGTGTCAGTGGAGGGGAAAACATCTGCAATCTGTTGACATGACTTGGATTTTAGTCATGTCAGATCTTTGACAAAATAATGAATCGAGCCCAGTCCCTAAGCACATGGATGCCTGCCCCTGCTGTAGTCTTGAACAGCACAGAAATATGTTCAGAGTTACAGGGATGGGCTAGGAAGCAAAATAACCCCAAGAATTTAAAACCTGGAAGCACAAAACAGCTAAACCAAAACAGCTGGAGCTTTCCTGTGATTGAATAAGCTTCCCGTAAGTCCCTCTGGTAGACCTTGATCTAGACAAATGCTCACTTTTGTGCCTATCTCTAGAAACAAGCTGAGAGGGGTAATACAAATGTACCTTCATTTGTGAGGGCCTTTGTCATGGTTTGGGCCGGACTGGTCACTGAGGACAGCTTTGCTCATTCCAGGCAATTTCTTATTTCGCAGCGTACTGAGTGTTGACCAAGGGCCATCTGTATCATTCGGTGTGTCTTCACACACCAAAGCCAGCAGTACGATACACGTTGCCAGCACTGTTGCTGCTCAAAACCTGCCATAGGAGAAGCTAAGACCCTTCGTAGCTTCAGTTGAGACCCTGTCACCGTTAAAGTCAGTGGGAGTTTTGCAATGAATCTTGACAGGCAGAGGAAGCCGTGTGGTGTCTCAGTAGAGCCAGAGCTGCCGAGCTTGACTTGCCTCTGCCACAGTTCTGCTGTGACCAGGGTGGCATGCTGGAGCCCCCGCAGTCCCAGAGGTGTGCTGTGGTCCCAAAGGCTTGCTGTCCTCTGGCACCTCCTGAGGTAATGGCACGTAGTCAGGGACAGAGTTGGCAGAATCAGCTGGGGGCCTGCACCTCCCAAAAGGGGCTGGGTAGGAATGTTGCCTTGAGGAGCAGGAGAGGTGTGTGTTGTCACCGTGCTTTTACACACTGCTGCTTCTCCTTGCCCAACAGTGAGAAACACAGAAAAATAAGAAATGCTTAACTGGCCGTTTCTCATCAGGCTGATGCGAGGCCCGTTAAACGGCAAGCTTTGCACAGGGTTTCTGCGGGGCCCAGATCCACCAAGCTGAGCATGGTCCAATGTGTCAAGCATCTGCTGAATTTGTGAGGTGGTCAGTGGGCTCAAAGGCATGTTATAAATTGTTATTCCTCAGAAACAATCAATTCTAGAAACCCTTACCATAAGGAGACAGAGATCTGGGAGAGAAACAGCAAAGTGATCTGTAAAGAAATAAGAATCCTGCAAATATATAAAGGAGAAAAAAAATGGTGTGGAAAAATAAAGCGGATCCCATATTGTGGCTGTGAAACAATGCTTTTCATAGCCAACTGTGTAAGCTGGAGTGGAGTCACACTGATTAATGCCAGATGCAGGGCCAACGCTAAAATCCAGGGTAGGTGAAATATCTGTGCTGAGAATACATGGCTGAAGGATGACACCAACACTGCAGGACAACAGGAGACATTAATAGTATTGTGATTCTGGCTAGTTTTAGTCATCTTTAAAAATGATGCACTCAAATGCTTCCTGACCCAAGGGGACATAATAGAAATCAGTCATTACTCACATAGAGTTAGTTGTGCTCACTCTCTGTATTTTAATGGGAAGATACGGGTTCTTGATCTCAATTCCTTTCAGTCTCCTGCTGTGCTGCTGTCGTTCCTCAGCATTCTTACTGGTAGTGCATGAGTGCCAGGACAAACTTAACAGGTTCCGTGGCACAGCAGGGGCCTTCTGCCTGGCTGGACTTCGGCAGTTCCCTGAAAACAGAAAAAAAAGTTAAGGAGGAATCACTTTGAGGAGGGGGAATTCTGCAAGACTATCTCAGCCAGCGAGAATAAGGTTGACAAACTAGTGAAGATCCATGTGAAGTAGGATAGCTGTAAAAGGAACTTTGTAACCCCAATTTAAGCCAATAGAAATAGTAATTGTATTTCTGTTAAGTCAGGAAAATGAGGGGAAGAAATTAGATTATTCCTTTCTTTTTCAAAGCAGGTGAATTAATTATGATCTGATTTCTTAAAACTTAGTTTTAGGATTCTGTGTCTTTTGTCTGCCATTGCACAATCAGTTAGCAGCGCTGAGCATTTTGTTCCTCTTTTCTGTCCTAATGCTGCATGCTGTGGGTAGTACCAGACACAGAATAGCAAACTGGATTTACTAACTTTCATTTCTGATTCTAGAGGGCTTGTCTGTGTTGATAAGATATTTCCTCTTTCTTCCTTGCTTTTCTGATATAGCCTTCACCAAATGCCCAGTTCATTAGTCAGGCTCCCAGTGGCGATTCTGAGATTCCAGAGCAAGAGCAGCCTTCCACCACTGGTGGCCCCGCAGGAGCTGTCTTCTCTGAGTGATACTGTCAGTGGTGACACACAGGTGGGTCACACTTTGGTGGAGTTAAGCCAGGATTTTGGCAGCGAAACAGCAGTTCAGCTCATAAGCTGGCATTTCCAAAACTGCTTTCTCTTTTTTTCTGAAAGCCCCTTTCTTCCTCCTCACCCCAATTCCCCGGGCTGCCGCCGAGTTCCACACACCACGCTCTCAGCTCATGTCCGAGGGGATAGTGCTTGGGTGGCAGTTTTACAGAAACCGAATAAATACAAAACAAATCTCTCCAAGGGATAAGCAGTCCCAAATAAGTGTGTCAAGTCCAGTTACGCTTTTCTGAGAAGGCTTCAGTGTTAGGGAAAGTATTATATTGCTGCTACTCACTGATATGTCAATCAGCCAGATGGTAATTAATGACTGCTAGTGTCAAGTGTAAAAGTAACTCAAGGCATAGCATGACCTGTCTTAAAGCATAAAATTTCACTCAAGCGTAAGATTCCAAGTCTGTCCAGGAATGATCAGCACTCAACTGCTTTAAAGTAGAGGGGCACCTTAGGTTGGATTCAGTCATTCTGTAAATACAGTGAAGATGGAGAGAAATGAGATACTGCTTAGCAGTTCCAGTATCAGGGAAAAGATGCATGAACTGCAGAAGAAAGAGAAGGGAGCCTTCAGTAGTCCAATATCACCTCCTTTTGTTATCACTGTATCTGTTGAAATTTCTCAAGACACTCGGAGCAGGAGTGCTGTTTTCTCTTAGCCTGAAAGGAGACTGGCAGAGGAATCTAACGGCAGAATGTGGTCTGTGGAAGCCTGAAGCAGAATGGGCACTTGCGTCAATGTGACTTTTGGGGTCTCAATTGGCAGAAAACAATTCAATGAGCATGATCATTATGACTTGGGTACTCTAACGAGCCCTGAGTTCCCTTCCTGATCCAGCTGTAGGTTCCTAAGCTATACAGGACCAGATTTAAAAGCTCAATAGCAACGCGAGCCAATGGGATGGGGCAACTGCTTGGTGATGGGAGGTTTCCAGCCTTGCCTTTGTGCGCAGAGGTGTTCCCAGGAAATCGGCTTGTCTGAAGCTGTAACCAAACATCAGCTGGCGAAGAAGATAATATCTCATGGGCACATTAGAGAAATGTTGCTCCTTTAAAGTCAGCTTCAAGACCCATTCTAAACGCAGTGTGTTGTTTCCTGCGTACGCGCACACATGCACACCTCTCTGGTTTCCCCACCTTTCAAATTCCTGCAGTGTAACTCAGCAAAGAAAGTACAGAATGAGGGTGACATGCAAATCCTATTAATTCATCCAAGTATGGAAATGCAATCCTTTTGATGTCAAAAAGTACAGCAATGATATGTTAAAGAGCTCAGCACGCTTCTGTTAAATATGTAAAGTGCAGATTCCCCCGAAGCTGTATCACTCCTGGATAACCCTGGACTATAGCTCCTTACTTTAAAAGACTGAGAATTACTCTAACAGCATTATACCCATTTGCCCGACAATATGGTCAGATGTTCTTAAGCGGATTTGAGTTGAGCGTGGATTTAGTAACACCATTCCTTCTCTGCAGCTTGTTTAGTTTCTTTACTCAGGCAAATGCAGGTGACAGATTCCACAAAGTGGCTCTGTGTAGGAAAGCTTTTTGAGAAAGGGTGGAAAATAAGTTATTTGATGCACTTCAGGCAGAGGAAACACTTTTAGATTTAAAAAAAAAAGAATATAATAGAAATGGGAGACTCTAGGCCTTTTTTTGCCTCGAGTCTGAATATGAACCATGGTAATTTTTATTTTTTTTTTTTCCCAAAAAAATACTGACTGAGATAAGGGCACAGAGAGAGGTTTTCAAAACAATATGGCAGCTACAAGGACAGAGAGTTTCCTGCTGCACCTGGACCCTATAGTGCTGGGCAGGGCAGTTGTGCTCCTCAGCTTTGCCTTGCGCAGTGTGCTCCTACCCAGGTGGCATCGCAGCTCCTGCCCAGGCTTCGCACACGCACACGCGTGCACACACGCCCCCACACCCACCCCATCTGTGCCATTTGTGCCTTTCAAAATCTCCGATTCAGACACAGCTTAGTGCATTCTATTGTAAGAGCAGAGGTGGGATCTTCTGACTGCTCTTTGAAGCTAAAATGGGCTAAGCAGGCGGTGATCCATAAATATTGTCAGAAGACTTTAACTGTAATTAAGAACAGTTATACAAAAAACTCCAAAGTGTCTGTGATCACTCTAGGTTTTCACTGGAAAACTTGGTTTTCCTTTCCAAGGCATACTCTTTTGTCTTTGACTTTTCGTTGTCTCTTCCTTTCCAGCCATACTACAACCATCACATCTTGGCTCTGCTGCAGCCTTTGGTGACAAGTGGGACAAGCCTGGCATTGGGGGAGACGCTGTTGAAAGAGGGCAGCAGACTGCGCAGAAGTCCTGACAACCCGATCCACAATGCCTCCCAGGTCACCCAGACTGCCGCTCCTGCCACTGTCCGAGAGGTGGTTAACGGGTGTCAGGGTGAGTTGCACCACTGAGTGGTGCTTCATGGGCGAGGCCTTCATCCTTGCTGCTACTTCTTTTGGATTGTCATTTCCTGAAGTTTAGTTTCATTCAGTTGAATCTCACTGTGTAGCTTGAGCTGTATTTCAAAGAGGCAAAGAGGTCAGATAGCCTTTTTTTATACTAGATTCTAATCTTATGAAGTACCAGTCATTTTCTTTCCTTTCTTCCTTGCCAAATATTATGATATTAAAAGTAGTGAATAGTGATGATAGTTGACAAAGTAAGTGATTTAGTATTGAGCTGAGTCCTTTACTTTGATTCTTCTGAAATAAGAGTTGTTTTGCTTCTTTTATAGCAGGAGGACTCCTTTGGAGACATTTACTACAGACCTTTAGACTTGTTTGGAATACTCTGCTTTGGGCTCTACCACCTGATGGAAGAGCCCAATCTGTGCAAGAATAGGCAAGTATACTTTATCTCAAATTGTGAGTCAAAAGATAGTAGTCATGACTTTGAAGTCAGGCATCTGTTATAAGCAACCTGAATTACTTATTTTTGTCTTGGATTTAGACGTTCTTCTGGGCAGCTAAGGCCATTTGAGGCAAACTGGTATGTGGTCTGAACACGGTGTTTACTGGCGCTTGTATGAGACACTCTTATGTTCATGTAAGATGTGATTTATCTTTACAAGTGAGCCTTCTTCATTAGAGAGCTGCTGGAGCATGAAGTTAGTAATGCTGCTGAGGGCAGGGATTTCAGAGAGTTTTCAGGTGGAGAGAACTTTCTCACCTAACCTGTTCTACTCACTGATTCTTTCCATGTCCAGATTTCAGTGATTGCTCGAGCTTCAGATCTCCTAGAGAGACATGTAGTCTTGATTTGAAGATTTTGAGCAATCAAAAAGTTTATCACACCTTGCAGCAGCTGTTCCAGAGACTAATTAGCTTCATTTAAAATATATGTATCCCATTCCTAGGTAGAATGTATATTGTCTTATCATTCCAAAGAATTTTGTACATGCAAGCAGTTGTTGCAAAAAGCCCTACAGCTTTCTTGCTGTCCCAGACATTCGGTTTGAAAACCTCACAAAGCAGTCTGAATCTCATGTGCTACTGCTTTTTCAGGTTTGTGATTGCTCGGTCTGCCAGTGATTTGAAGACGCTGTCTACAGAGCTGCAGTTTTGTGTTGTTCGTTCAACATTGCGACAACTGATGATGTGGGATGGAAGTCAGTTACCAAGCAAGAAAACAGGTAGCGCAGTCATCTTCATGCTGGAGTTATGACAGATTGTGAAATGCCCTGCAAATTAAAAATTGTACAAATTATTAAGACCCCCACAATAAATTGTCTATGTTCTTGTTTCTTGGGGGTGGCAGTTTGAATTTGGCTGAACATTAACATGACATTATTACTGAAAACAGTACTGTTAAGCATTAACAACAAACATATCAGAGAGTAAAATGCTCTCTCTGCAAGGAAAAAGGCAAAAACTTGAGTTTCTGCTGAGCATTGCACAGAACAGACCCGAGTATATACAAACAGGATGACTCCATTGAGTTTAGAGATTCTCTGCTGAACTTCTCAAAGTTCAAAGAGTCCAGCACACTAAAATTCCGTTTTGTTGCAGCAAGAACTGAAGATGCTGGATTGATATGCATTGAAAGAAACAAGAAAACAAGCAAAAAATCTCCATGAACTTGTACCATAAATCAGGTCCTGTGTGTATGTTATAAAGTCAGTTGAGGGAAGGAGGAGAGTGTTGTTTGGTTTCTCTCTCTCTCTCTCCCCTAACACTAATTAGGTTTGAAAGACTGCAGCTTGAGTCCAGATACCACATGCCGAGAAGAAAGGAACCCAAACAGCTGACGCAGAGTTCAGACTAAACTAACTGCAAGCTCCCCAGGGACATCACAAGGTAAACCTGATAGTCTCTGTCATTTACAATCATTATCAGGCAGCTGAGTCTCTGTAATTTTGCTGGGGAGCCAATTAACAGATCCCTGAAGCTCAAGAATAAGGTCTTGGTCCTTTTTCTATTTTAGACAGGAAAAGGGGGAAAGTAAGTCTTTGTCTCAAATAGATACTCCAGAAGCTTTCCTACCCAGGGGAATGGTCAGATCTGGGCTTGCGCTTTTCCTCTTGAGTTGGATAAAGCACTGAGCTTAAGAGTCAAGCAAGTCGCTTCAGTACCCAGCTCTGCAGCAAGCAGGCTGTGTAACTTGGGCGTGTTATTTAACTGTATCCTAATGCTGCTTGCTGCTCACAGCAACTATAGTAACATACTTGTTAAGTTAGATAATGAGAGCTTTGGGGAAAGGACTGTCTCTTGTGATTTGTTTGGCCTAACATAAATAGGTACTGATTTCAGATAGGATATTTAGGAACTCCACTTAAACAACATGAGTAAGAAGCAAGAGAAAAGCTTGGACCAAAACTCCAGATGGAAACATATCTGTGCTTGGGGAAGTTTGGAGTTTGGATTCAGGTCTGAGCCTTAATGTGTTGGACTCATCTTTGCTGGAATAAACTAATCATACATTTTCAATTCGGGACAGATTGTAAGTAGGAATCAGTGAACCGTGCTCAGAGCAAACAGAATACATAGGAAGCATGCTTTCCCTTTGCCAGCCCTTTGCAGACCTGAATTTGAGCCAAGACAGTCAGCTGATCTCTTGGTAGGAGTTTTTTGGCCTAAAATCACCCACTGTATATACAAACTTAAGTAAGAATTTGTGCACTGGATTCTGTTTACCCTCTGGCAGAACAAGGCTTCAATAATAGTGTCTCAGTCCATTCCTTCACATGCATTATTTTAAACAGACAAGACAGTTAAAAGGTGGAAGGAAGAGCCTGGGCAGGCTCTGCAGTCCTTTGACTACAAAGGATACCTCATACTGAGACTCTGCAAGCTTTCTATATTGTCAACTGAACCTTTTTGTATTTTCAGCTGTAATTCAGTCTAAGCAGGGCACAGAGGAGGAGGTAACATCCCTTTTTCTTTCTTACCGTTCTATTGCTTTTAAATGACTGCACATGCCTGGACCTCTGTGTTCTGATGTTAAGCAGGTCTCGTGCAACGTTAAGGTGTTTTTATTAAGAAAACTGCAAGAAACAAAGAAACCTGTTTACTCGTAACCCCGACTGGGTGAGAAACTCAGACTGTCTTGCCAGCAAACTCTTCTATCTGAAATCATCTGTTTTTCCTAGGAAATGGAGGCAGATGTTGAGAGCCCTCCTTCGTGACTGAGATCCAGAATGTGTTAGTTCCAGCTTTAAGGCACCAAACGTGGGATATACCACTGTGTTACTGCAGAGCTATACTGCTTGGTGTAAAACCGTTGCAACCCCTGGTGTGAGTATCTTTCTTCTTTCCATTAGAAAGAGAGACTTGCCGCAAGTGCATTTGTTACAAACATTCCTTCTCTCCGAGGTGTCTCAGGTGCAGGACTGCCAGTGATGACACATGCCATGTGTCCCCATCCTGCATTCACAGTATGTCTGTGGTGGGGAATGTGCCCATCTCCAGTCATACAGCTTTGCCAGCACAGCATGTTTCCAGTTGCTTAACCTGCAACTGCCCGAGCGTGTCATTTACTGGGGTAAGGGGGAGTGGGGAGAGGTGACAAGGGGGAGAAGGGACCTCTTTCATTTTGCTTATTCCACTTTTTTGTTCAGTTGCTATACCTGAGCAAGCAGTTCTGCTTCTCATGAAAGAAGGGAGGGGGAGAGAAATCCTAAGAAAGGTAAAAGCATTAATGGGTCAAGGCCTCCTTTGCATAATTCTATTATCACCAGGAAGATTCTGCAATAATCATGTTAGGCATGTGCTCTGGAGCATCAAAGTGACTTGTCTTACCTTACTTTTTGATGTTAGACAGGTTTAAATGCTTTGTACAGATGAGGCACCTCAGACAGCTGATCAAGAGAGCCTGTGCTGTTCAAGCAAAGCAAAGGCCTGTTTTGCTTTTTTTTTAATGTCAACAATAATGCCACCTTCTTCCAGCAAGGAATAATCTCTGTTGTCACAAACTGTGAAAAGCAAAGGTATAGGAGAGAATCTGTGTGGGGGTGCATGCAAACATACTTTCTGATGCTACCACCTTTGAATCTTCAGCAACAGTATCTTCTTGTGTATTGTTTGGGTCATATGTTTATATACGTATTTTATAAATAAATTCAGCTCCTGCACTGAAATCCAGTGTGGGACGTAAAGCTGTTACAGGATCTCTGCACTGTAGTTTGCTAATCTGCACCCGTTCTAAGCTGTAAAGGTCACTTTAGTGTGTATGTGATGATTAATATTAGTACGTTTTACTTTTTAGCAGTGTTACGGAGTCTCCAGTGGAGTTCTGAAACTTTTTGTGTCAGATACAATCAGAAGTAGTCCCTTACCCTTGTGAGCTTGGGTGGTATATACCAAAAAGAGTTATAAGGGAAGCAGAGGAGTTGTAGTTTGCCTAAAAGCATAGATCAGATTGGTGGAAAAGATAAAAACAGAACCCACATCTCCAGATTTCTCGGCTAGCAGCTTTCCCACTAGGCCATTTTGCATTTCTGCTCTCAGCTCCTGCTGACGATCATTCCCTTGCCAGTCTGTCTCGGGATTCAACTGTCTCTTCCGAAGGTGGCTCAAATAGTCTTCATGGAGTGCTACCTGATTAATTCTTTTTCCATTTGTTATAAGATGGTCAGCTTCCTTACGGAAGCAGACAAGTATCATCATGCTTTCAGACAGGAAGGTGAGCTACTTGCTACCGGGTAGGTCAGCGGTCGTGCCGGAATGTGTCTTGTCTGTCTTGTCAGCTGTGCCACACTACCCTTTCAGGCTGGTACATGACGGACGGAGCCAGAAACCTCTCCAAAGATGCACGCAGGGATATGTAGACTGCAGAGACTCAAATATGCTAAAGCGCTTATCCTAACACGCTCATCCACCTGGATGTGAACACTGCTGAGGGCATGTACCCAGAGACAAACACAGGCTCTACAGAGAGCGCTTGCCCGTAAGGAGGTGAATATATACATCCAGGCTGGGGTTGTTTCCTCCCTCCTCCTCTTCCCTGTAGTCAGACACAATCCAGCAGAATGAGTAGCGAGGGATGTCAGCGCTGTGAGCCGGGCCGGGTTTTGCAGTGCAGCATGCTGCAGGTGGGGACTGACACATAGTCAATGAGATGTGAGGAGAACCCAGACTCTATAAATGTTAGATGAGGCAGGCTGGGCATTGACAAAAACGAGAGGTGGCTGCAAACACCAAGTGTCATTATTCTCTGAGCAGGGATGGTGAGAGGCCTAGGAACTTCCCATGGAGATTAACTACTTCACAGCAGGATGAGGAGCTGTCTCCTGATGGAAAGGGACATCCTGTTGTCCTGAGAACACTTGGAAGGAAGGATGCGTGACAGCAGGAGTAGCTTTTGAGAGCATACACACAGTTTCCTGCAAAGCACGTATCTTGTCTGAAAGATGATTTTACTCTGCTGAGGTAAACTCCAAACACATAATGGTTTAAATTAACACCCAAACAGAAGGAGGTGACTCTCTCAGTCATTAATTGGCAGTGGGTTATCTAGCCTCTCCTACCGAAGGAAGGGCTCTTTGCTGCTTTCCCATCCATCTACTTCAGCTTACTCTCTTGACCTGCCACCAATGTACCATAAAGCCATAGTCTTATTCCCCACTGTCTCTCTGGTGGCCAGTTATAAAGGGACTAGAGCTGTTTAACTGCTGATTGCTTCTCTACTTGCAGCAGGAGGCCGTGCAGAGTGAATTAGGTGAGCTTACTGTACTGAGCAATCTGGAAGTGCATCATTAATGCTTCTGACACTTTTTCTGTAGCACACATGTGCCAATAAGCATTAGTGACTGAAGTTTCTCCATTTCCCAGAAAACAGATGTAGCTAGAGCAGTAAAAGTACTGGGCTCTTATCTCTCCATAAATTCAGATGTTTTTCCAGACTCTTCTGTCCTGGATGTGGGTGGGAGTTGCATCGGGATAACTGTTGGAGTTGGCTAATGTCTCTAATGTCCACTACAGCTTTAATGGAGAACTTAGGGGTCTGGGGGTTGGCTTTTCTTTTGTCGGTGACAGAACAGGATTTCTGTTTCCAGCCAGAAGGAGGAGCCAGATCAATCACTGTGACTTGGAATTTGGTTGTCTGGTAAAGTTTTTTGCTAAAAAAGAAATACAAATGCAACCCCACTGAAATGCATTCTTTCCCCTTTGGGGCAAGGGGAAAGGGATATTAGTTTTTGTGAAAAAGAAATGCATTTTTTTAAGTCT